AAAGAGATATTTAAGAGAGATTTCACATACCTGGAGAGATTTGGGAGAGATTTGACATTCTTGGAGAGATATCTCATACAAAGAGATATTTGAGAGAGATTTCACATACTAGGAGAGATTTGGGAGAGATTTGACATTCTTGGAGAGATTTCTCATACAAAGAGATATTTGAGAGAGATTTCACATACTTGGAGAGATTTGGGAGAGATTTGACATTCTTGGAGAGATTTCTCATACAAAGAGATATTTGAGAGAGATTTCACATACTTGGAGAGATTTGGGAGAGATTTAACATTCTTGGAGAGATTTCTCATACAAAGAGATATTTGAGAGAGATTTCAAGTGTGGCATTTGTGAGTGTTTGGCTCCGCTAAGCAAGTTTCTTGAGCCCCGTTAAGTCATGGTTAAGGATCCCACACACTCCCAATGAGTATGCAACATGGTTTTTATCAGTTTAGTTCATTGATTAGCACTAGGGCTTAGGAAATTTTTAACACAAGACTTTTTTCAAGTGATGTTTTCCCATTAATATAGCAAGTTATACAGTATGAACATAACACAAACCCTAAGACACAAGGTTTAATCGAGTTGACCGGCTTGACTTGATGACTTGACTTGACTCAAGATTGACGATTGTCACATAGGGCATTGATTGTGGAAGGCCTGAGAGCAGGTCGGGATTGAGTATGTATGATGGAGATAGAGTTCGGAACCCTTAGAGGGCTAGAACGGTATGCACGGGAGGATTTCCCGAAGAGATAGCTCGGAATGATGAATGCTAGTTGAGCGGTCCGGATAGACTGAAGGCCGGTAGGCGTACCAGTCAGGCCGAAGGCTCAGAGGACGGTCCAGCCAGACTGAAGGCACTGAGAGCGATCCAGATTGGCTGAAGGTTCTGAGAGTGGTCCAGATTGGCTGAAGGCCTGGTGAGGTGGTCCAGTCATGCTGAAGACTCTGCGAGTATTGTTGGATCGGTTCGAGGATATGTATTGCGTATGTTGCAGTGTGATTGCATTGGAAGGTCTGGCCCCGGGTAGTAATCTTGATCAGTGTAGATAATGCATGGGCTTGAGAGTCCCTACGATGAGATTCAGAGTAGTTGTGTTGAATGGATATCAGGTGCGCTATAAAAAGGGTGGGTTAGCGTTGGGCGAGCACCGGGACACTTGTCGGGGTGACATTGTGGCCAAGTGGATTCCTTGGTAAAGGAAAAGAGAGAGGGGTGTAACTCCGGGGGGGGGGGGGGGGAGTGCAAGTTCACGTAAGTGAAAGCGACAGATCAGAGTTATGATTTGAGTAATTTAAGTATGGTTTTTGAGCAGCGTGTTTGCGGCAGTGGAATAAAAGCTCATCCAATTTGGGATGTCTACTGAGGTCGCGGAGGGAATTTCGCAGGTGTAGAGCCAAGGGGGCTCGGAAGGGATGCAGGGAGAGAGTCTGGGACTCTCAGTGTGATTCTGATCAGGGTAGTGGGTATGTATTAGTGGTTCATCCTGGGGGATGTTTGAGGATATCATCAGTGTAACGGGTATTCCCAACCTGAGGGTGCTAGAGCTAGTTCAGCATGTGTGTGTGATTGCAAGAGGAGAACTCGTGGGAGTTGCTCCGGGACTGAAGAATGGATATTTCTGTCGTCATGGAATGGATAGAGTGGGTTTCGGATCGGGGATCCGATGGTTGATGGTTTTCTAGCCCATAAGAGTCAAGTGATTGTTGAGATTTGGAGCAGTAATGGATTATGGGTAATTCTCGGTTGTTGAAGTGCGGTTATCGGAGGGTACAGCCGGTGCCCAGTTTAAGACGGTGGTCAGGACACCGTAAGGAAAGAGAAAGTGAGTTTGAGTTTCGTTGGGTATGTCTTGAGGGACCTGGTCCGGTTAAGGTCAGGTGGCACGTCGTGGGAGTATTTTGAAGTTGAGTTGCCGTAGGCTTCGAGGACGAAGCCTAATTTAAGTGGGGGAGAATTGTAACATCCCGAAATAGCAAGAGTAGAGTTGAAGGGCTAAAAGTGTAAGTCTTGAAGGGCGACTCAGCGAGTCCATGGATGGACTCGGCGAGTAGAGTCGCGACTTTGGTCGCGTGTCAGGTGGCCTACTCGGCGAGTTCAAAGATGGACTTGGCGAGTAGGTGCTGGGTGAAGAAAACCCTAAATCCGGGGAATGAGCCCTATATAAAGAACATTATGTTTCCTCCCCATCCTCTTTGATTCCCCTTGAGCCCCAGAAACCCTAATTTCGTGGAGGAACATCATTGTTGGGCAAATTGGAGCTTGGAGAAGTGCTAGTTGAAGAAATCTTGAAGGAGAAGAGGCTTGGATCAAAGGGTTTTGCTTGGATTCGAGTTTCATTGCTGTTGGGACATTCTTTGGAGGCAACCTCTCGTTCTTGAGCTGCTATTGTGTATATTCTTCATTTTTGGGAAATGTTGAGATCACATCTATTAGTGTTTTGGAGTCTAGAGGTTAGATATGAGGTTGCTACCTCAGATTTGGAATAGAGAAGGGTTGGAATGCCTGAAAGTCCCTGTGATTGAGTATGTAGTGAAGCTATCTTGTCCCAAACCTTAGCCCTAATGTGTATAATGCCTAGATCTTCATGGATTCACGTAAAGACTGCCACTTTACATGATGGATGGCCTTAGGAGAAGTAGGCCTATGGTTTGGATCATCTGCATGGCTTTGGAATGCTTCTGTATGGATTCAGATCGGTGGTACTCGACGAGTTGCTTGAAGATGGCTTGGAACTCAGCGAGTTGGAAGAACAACTCGGCGAGTGGGTTGAAGATAGCCTTAGGCTCGACGAGTCTGTTCTTGGACTCGGCGAGTCTTGTCGAAGTGTCCCAATATATTTTCTGGTTGAGTCAAGAATCGGCGAGTCAAGGGATGACTCGGTGAGTTGTGAGAGAGTGGACTCAGAGTTGGTGGACTTGACGAGTCTCGGGGTGACTCGGCGAGTTAGGTCTCGGATTGAGGGAAGTTCCGATTAAGAGGACTCGGTGAGTCATCGGGTTGACTCGGTGAGTAGGGTTTGTTAGGGGTTGACTTTGACCATTGTCCAAAGGTTGACCAGTTGTCTTCCAGGGGTATTTTGGTAAGTAAGGGTATTTATTTAATTGAGTGTTTTGGTGTTTAGTGGAGGAGTTCGTGTCAGAGTTGGAGCAGCGGGATCTTGTCCTTTTCAGCCGGCAGTTTCGATGTGAGTTATCCTCACTATATCAACAGGGTCTAAGGCACCAAGGTCGGCCCTTATCAGATTGAGATCCGGGTAGTTGTTGCTATTTTGTTGCTGTGATATGCTTGCATCCCGAGAGTTAGGACGGTATATGTTAGAGACCTGATTGAGATCGGTATCCTGAGAGATAGGGAGATGCTATGCTAGTGACCTGTTAGGTCGGTATCCTGCTTAGAGTATGTTATGCTATGTAATCTGCTAGATCGGTTTATTTGAATGTGAACTGTTATATGATTATATGTTTATGTGCACATGGTTGTTTGGACGGGAGATGGGTTGAGGCGGGTCCTGCTTTGTGTTGTAGGACAAGATACCCAGGGCAGATCGGTTATTCCAAAGGCCCAGCGAGCGGTCCAGATATGCTGTAGGCCCCACGCGGGCGGACCAGACGTGCCGAAGGCTCGGGGAGTGGACCAGGCCGACTGAAGGCCCGATGCGGGCGGACCAGTCGTACTGTAGACTTAGAGAGTGGACCAGGTGAGTTGAAGGCCCAGTGCGGGCGGACCAACCACACTGCAGACTCGAGGTACATGATTGGACTTGGAGGGTGGACCAGGTGGACTGAAGGCCCGACATGGCGGACCAGTCCCACAGTAGACCCGATATGCATGTCTGTTTTGTGATTCGTTATGAGATAGCATGTTATGTGTATGGTATATGTGGTTGGTATTTTGGGGGTATCTCACTAAGCTTTCGAGCTTACAATTGTGGTTTAATGTTTTTCAGGTTCTTCAGGAGACTGTGGCAAGGCGAAGGCGTGATCATGCCGCTCCTCATGATTTTATAGAAATGTGATTCTGGGAATACTCTAAATGATTTGTATTGCAAATCTTTTTGTAATAATTTAATGACATCTGGTTTTTTTTGAAAATTTAAATTGGTTGGATTTTTCGGTCGTTACAAAAGCAATGTTGAAAGATAGGAGAGAGGAAGATAGGTTAGGATTGTGCTTCAAGAATAGGATCGAACATGTTTAATAGCAGGTTAAATATCAAACTAAATTACTGCAAACTGTTAAGTGTTGACATTTTGACAATGGAACAAACACCATTATCTGATGACAGCGGGACCTTTTCATTTAGTAGCGTGTTATAGCTTTCATGTGGTCGAGTTGGTTGGTTGGAATGGAATGGACACAGTAATAGAATAAGCAAGGTAATGGAATGCGTTATTACATTCCATGATCAAGTTTGGTTATCGTATAGGAATGGAATACAATGTATAGTTTTAATGGATCTTTTATTAGAAAAATAAAAATATTAAACATAATAAAAGGTCGTCAAAGCCCAAAGTTACTCTTGGTTATCTGAACATATGAGAAAAAAATGGCAACTTTGAATTGGGTAGGAATTTTCATCAGAAATGATGATGAATCAAATACTAGAAAAATAAAAATGTGGAAAACAAAGGTATGTCCAAGAAAGAAAGATTCCAGTATACCTGACTGAGGAGCTTAGGCTTGTCGATAGTAGAAAATATGACTTCATGAATTGGCATGTCTGGAACATTCACTCTACAAACATTCATGTCATGAGTGATGAGTCATGACATGCTAATTTATTTCCCCATATCAAGAAACATCTATGAATCTTATCTAACAACATCAAAAACAAAAGAATGCATAACAACACAAATGTTGACAGATAGGATTATGTTGGTTTCTCATTTGAGGTGTCCAAATCCTGAGAAGGCCTCTGCCTCCGAATCTCCGATCAAGAAAAAGTGGAGGAGGGTCAACAGACAAAAAATGAGTCCCAAGAATTAGCTGGGATGGTGCCTAAAACTGAAACTGCTAGTGAAAGAAGCAGTGGTACTGGTAATGATGATCAAGTTCCTCCTTCTATTCCTTTGAATGGATCTGGAGGCACACCTGTAGTAGATGATGAATCTCAAGGGGGCACATATGCAACTTTGGGACAACCTCATGATATGCAGTTTGAGAGCAATGATAGTGGTGTGAGGGATGTTGAGGCTGTGAGCCAAGAAAGTAGTGGAAGTGAAGCTACATTAGGAAAAAGCCTTCAGAGTTTGGATGCTGAAATTGGAAGCGCTGATGGCCATGACGATGGTCCCACAAGGAGAACAAATGTTCTTCCTGAATAGCAATTACATCAATGTTAATACCATATGAAGATATATACATATTTGCTTGATCTTCCGATAACAACAAGCAGCGATTGGAAGAACTTGTGTATTCAAAATCTTATGGGAAAGTACCTGATTGTATATTTCAAAAATAAAATGACTTTTAACAAAAATTTGAAAAGACAAACCACCCAAATCAGAAAAAACTCTTACACAAATCAAACCATGTGATCTTGATAGAAAAATAAAAAATGAATACAAATTAGGGCTCACATAATCAAATCTCGAAAATGAAATCACCTTTAAGAAAATGATGGAGCAGGTATCCTTAGAGGATTTGAGCTGAGGTGACCGACGTTTCTCGGGAAGGGAAAAGAATCGGTAAGTGACA